TTTTTTCCATGTTGAAAATTCTAGTGCCCGACCAAACCAACAATAATTACTCATTTGCTTTACTTTACAACATCCACGTACTAGTCTGAGAATAACAATGCCAACGAAGTGTGTAAAGCTACTTAACCACGCCAGTTGTTGGGCTCTTTTACCTGCTGGTAATCCTGCACCAACTGGGCCAATTGTCAGGCTACTTGACTACACCAGTTGTTGAGCTTGGGCTGGGTCTGGAGCTTGCAGACCCTTCAAGCCCATTCACAGATTGGGTCACAAACCCTTCACAAGCCAGACTGGGTCCCCAGACCCCTCACATGCCAGGCTGGGTCACCAGACCCCTTACACGCAGGTCTATGAGCTAGGTAACCGGCCAAAAGGTCCTTCAAAGGCGTAGGTTGGAAAGCATAGCTGTGCCAGCTGGACACCCAAGGCAGATACCCGCCCACCTGCTTCACTAAAACTATTCTCACCCCCCCACACACAAGAACACAAAGAATAGCAACAAAACTTAAAAGATAAATTGATGTGCATGTGCACTAACTCCACACACACACACACACACACACACACACACACACACACACACACACAATTTGCTTACAAAGGATGTGCAAAAACCACACCCAACCAGAACCAAGGCCCTGACCAAACTATTCTATTTTCCCAACAATGTGATTTCTGAGAATGTTTAAAAAAATTATTTTTGTACTTCTTTTGTCATTATATCTCACTGGAGATATACAGTTAAGCCATTGTGTTTTAAAGTCATTCAAAGTAGTTAATCTGTATGGTTTTCCCACCAACTGTATATATAGTCAGATTGATTTGTTTCATTTTCTTTTGATTTATACAAATTGCTTTTTAATAATCTAATTTCTAGAGATAATTTCCAAAGTCAAGTCTACAAAACAGTTATACACAAAGAAGTCTAGCTTCTATCCCTGTCCCTACACTCTGCTTCCTCCCTTCCCCTATAGCTGTGTTGTTCAATAAGCTAACCACCAACATGTGTGGCTTTTAAAATTTAAATTAATTAAAATTAAATAAAATATAAAATTTAATTCCTCAGTCATACTAGTGACATTTAAAGTGCTCCGTAGCCATCTGGCCAGTTACCATATTAGGTAACACAGATTATAGAACATTTCTGTCCTCACTGAAAGTTCTTTTGTTCAGCTTTGCCCTAGAAAACCACCCCTCCCCACCTTTTTTTCCATTAAGTGTTTGATATATCTTTCTACTTTTGAAAAATATAAAAAATTATGTATATCACCCTCCTCTCGTAAATAGTAGCATATTATATATGCATTTCTTCATCTTCCTTTTCTTAATATATCTTGGAGATTACTCCAGACTGCAGAGCAGTGTACAGAGATAGTCCTCATTCCTTTAATCCTTTCATAGTACTGTACTTCATTGTGTAGATGTTTATAGTTTATAAAACCAGTTCCTTATTGATGGTCATTTAGGTTGTTTTAGTCTTTTACTACTTAAAATTGTGCTATGATGAATGGTAGTAGTGCTGCCTTGTGTATATATCTTTTCATGTATTACCAGAACCACTATACTTTTAATGCTAATTTCGTCAATGGGATTTTTGTTTCTTCCACATATTAAAAATAATTATTCTAATTACAAAAGTAATGCAATTTTATTGTATTAGAGAACAACAACAACAATAAAATACATTAAGGGAGAAATAAAGTCATCTAAAATCCATGTTGACCAGACAGACACTATTTTGGTGTTCATGTGTCCCTTGCTTTGGAAATG